AATGAAGACATATTTATATTTGAAATGCAACTGCAGGAAAGTAGCAACCTTCTGTCAGGTCTTGGGTTAATTTGATTCTCTCAAGCCACAGGATCTGAGGACCTCAATCTTACTCTACAATTACATTCAGGAACGCAAGATTCTGGCATGGATCAGGACAAAAGATTTGGCTCACACAATCTGTGGAAACATTGGGGTATGCAAAGTAGGTAAAAACTGATAATTTGGGGGGAAAATAGCATTAATTTCTGAGACAAAACAATTCATGATTCATGACTAATTGGAAACAAATGAGTAATATTATTACACAAAAGCCCCATTTTGTTCATTGAGGAACCACAGAATCAACTGCATGTACTTTAGTTTCCAGCAGAGGCAAAGTCCCAAGGCACAGTGTTGTGGTTGTTGAACTAGTCATGTTGTACATACTGGTTTAATTCACACCAAAACTGTAGGAAGAACTGGGATTCTCTGAGTGGAGTCTGAGTCTCAAGTAGGTCAAACAATTCATCAGGCAGTGAAGGTTTTGGGTTAGCACTCATGAGGTGACCTGACTCTTGCCCTGGGATGTGTGCAGTGCAAGGAGCTGGCTGCACCAGCTGGGGTGGCAGATGAGAAGGCAGCAGATCTTTTACATCTGTGAAAGAAACCTTATGCACAGACGTGACTGCTTCATTCATGGTGCTGCTCCCTACTTATAATCATCTCATCAAAGTCCTGAGAGCAACATCCTCCTGCATTTATTTATTTTGTGACAGCTTCCACAAGGACATTCCCAATAAGTATATCTGGTCCTTCAACTGCCAGTCTCTACTCCACTTATCCATATTTATTCAGCATCAAACTTTAGGGACATCCATTTTCTACTTTGACCCTTGGAACAGAAGCCCATAAGTATCCACCACTCCTTTTCCTTTTCTGTTTCAGTTCTCCTGCAAATTCCTGCTTATAATTCCTGGTTGTGACATCCTTGACTAAGGCAAGGCTATTAGTGTGCAGCAAGCACCGCCTGCAGCACTGGCCAAAAATGTCTCACAGCTTCTTAGGGTTCCTTCCGCCCTCCATAGCTGGCTCTAGGCAGCTCTGATCTTCTCACCATGTTCTCACAGTTCCTGTCCTTCTGTTCTTTGTTTCTACACAGTCTCACAGAGCTGGGTCCTGATGTGCGCATGGGGCTCCCAGGAGCTGATGAAGATGACGAAGCTTCACTGCCTGTGTTTGTAGAAGGAGAGGCTGTCCAGGCTGCTCCATAGTCTATAGTCATAAAAGAAGTGAAGTAAACCACCTCTCCCTGCCACTCCAGCAGGAGTGGAAACAAGCAGACTGCAGCTCCCTACCTTTCGATGTGGAAATCACGTCACAATGAGCACTGAGATTTTGCCATCTGTCTCCAATGTTGCATATGCATTGCATACAAAAATAGGCTGTAAGAATACTGCTATGACTGAAAAATCCACGAGGCGAGAGATGCCAGAATTAGGCCTCCTTTTCGCTATGTGTTATGGCACAATTGTTAATTAGATGAACACACAATATTTGCCAGAGGTCTCAGCTTTATCCCATGGTACTGGATGGACTTTTATCACTGGAGTTATTCTGTAGAATTCTGGTTTTTTCCTTAGAGTTCAGTGTAGTCCTAGGCTTTATTTTCTTTCCAAGTTCTCCTCAATAAAAAATGACTGATTTTCCCAAAATTTGGAACTACAATGACACATTTCCCTGTAGTACTTGGGTTCTTCTAGTACTTCTGACAAGGGTGGTGGTTGTTTAGCCATTTTATTAAAATGGAAACAGAGACAGGCATGTAAGCAGCATCTTGACTGCACCAGGCACTATTTTATCAGGATCTTGGTCACTCATCCCAGCTGTCCCCGGGGAGATCCCAACAGACATGGTGCTGTGCAGGAGTGTTCATCATCAGTCATACTGGACATTCTGGAGGTAGAGCTCCCACTGACTCCCATCCCAGCAGCAGACATCAGGAGCAGGGTCTTATGGCACGTGCAGACTGTGGAGCACCCCACAGCCACAGGCTGCAGACTGGGGAGAACCTCAGCAAGACCTGGCACAGAAGACTCTGCTGGGAGAGTGGGACTGAAGCCAATGCTGAGGTAGCACTCAGAGTCTCAAAAAGGGACCAAGGATGGGGCAGCTGAGGTTTCATATCAAGCTCTGGCATGCCTAGACTCTCCCTATGGCTCATCCCTTGACACACACCTTCCCAACCTGCTCCCAAGCCCCCTGACTTCTCATTTGTGCCATGTGCTCCTCATTCAATTCCCAAGCAACCCTCCAGCTTTAGCATCCGAGTACCAGGTCTGTGCTCAGCCCAGCATTGCCTGGGTCCCTGTCTGCCACCAGGCTGTGACAGAAAAGAATCAAAGTGTTGCTCCCTGCCTGCCTTTCCACTGACCATCAACTCTGTCCTGAGCAGCATTACATGAAGAGCCCATCATCATTCTGCTCCTTGAGCTGGGATGACTCTTGGATAGCAGAGAGAGGACCCAGCTCCTTGTTGTGCTGTGGGGAAGAACAAGGATCTGCAGGAGCTTGGTAGCACTGACTGTCTGCACAGGAGCATTGGGGTCAGCACTGGGAGCTGCTGGGATGCTGGGCTGAGCTCACTCATGTGGGAAGGAATCTCAGCAGATTTTGACTACTCAGCCTTAGCACATCCCTAAGAAGTTGCTATTTTCTCCCTTCAAAGGCTATCACTAAGCCAAATTGGAGGAGATTTACAAGGTTAAAAAAAAAAATCACATTCCTAACAGAAAGCTGCCAAATTTCAGATCTCAACTCCAGAGCACAGAGGGATAAGAACTATCCAAAAAAAGGATCACCAGGTTCCCCCCTCCTGTTTCTTCCTTTCTTTTTTTTCCAGTTGGACAACAATTCCTTTTTTCCTATGCTCATTCTTGGAATGGACAAAACTGGCTGGACAATTTTGGCTGAAGTTTTCAAGAAAAGCACTTATCCCAAGGCAGACAATCAAGTTGGAAGAGCTCAGTCTAAACTTTTCAAGTCTGACAAAGTTACAAGCAACAGTGAAGGAGGTCCTGTAGCAGGACAGAGATGAGTAACCTTTATTACAGGAGCTGCACGCAATCCCACCTCTGACGCACTCAGAATTATAATAGCTGATGATGCTGCTCCATTCAGGTGCATCTGATCACGATTCAGATATGTCACCAGGAAAAAAGCTTTAAATCAGTCATCCCACTGAGCCTTCCCACATCCCTTCCTACTCGAACAGCTCTTTCCATCTAACAACTGATCATACAGAAAAACACAGCTCCCTCGCCTCCAGTATTTGTGAGCTGTGTATGAGAGCTTCGGCTTCTTGGATAGAGGCAGCTGATGCTAAAATAGGATTGCTCTCTGAACTAATGTATTCAAAATTAATAAAAGAAATAAAACAACACACTCCTCTGGCATGTTCCCATGCATATTTTCCATAAAAGTTAATTTTTCCACAAGAACAAGTTGTGAGTTTTGTGGGGGCTTTGCACTGAATCTTGATACGAAGCTTAGAATTTTTGGCACTGCTTAGGATGTTAAAATGACATCAGCTCCACTTTCTATATTGGAATTTTATAGCTCCTTCCTGACCACATTTCTTTGTTTTGCACATGTTCTCTCTCCTCTGAGCTGCCTCTCTGCCATGGTGTGCTCAGAGAATCAGGAAAAGCGGTGTGTTTGTATTCCTTGTAGCCCTGCTTGTCCCTCCCTGAGCCAGGCACCCAAGTGATACAGCTTCATTTCTCACCCAGGACAAAGCAGCACTGTTGGCTCAAGGGACGAGGGCACCTTTTCCAGTCCAAACCTTCCCCAGAGCGTGGCAGCTCTGTGCTGAGAGGAGCTGGCATGCAGGGTCCTCCTCTTTCCTCTGGCCGAGCAGGAGTGGAGATCATGCTGCCATGGGGAGTGGCATGGCTGTGGGACAGTAGGGACCAGGGTGGCCAGTGACTGCACACAGGACAATGTGAAACCAGCCTGTCTTGCTCAGAATAGGGAAAAAGGAGTGGAAGGTAGAGGAAGGGGAAAGTGAGCATCTCTGCGTGCAAAACTAGGCTCTAGGCTCTCTCCAGTAGTAGAAGGGTAGCACCTGGAGCAGCATTTGTTTGTGCTGCCCCAATAGAAGGAGAGTGTAAGTGCCCCCACAACCCCATCACACTGTCCCATGCCGTGGGGCAGGAAGGGGCAGCATTATTTTAAATTAAGCAAAAATCCCCCAGCAGTACCACCCTCTGCATTTGAACATCGTGGGGCAAGAGGACTGATGTGGCACTCAGGATCCCCTCTGAAAAACAGCACAGGGCTGGGAGAGCTAACAGACTCTGGCACTGGGAGTACAGTTCCACGGGCATTAGCACAGACATCACGCTTGTTTCCTGGATTTCAAGTAAAATAAGGATCCAAGGAAAGATGATGCTTTTCTACATCCCCTGTGACTTGGAAAGCAGTAAGAGCAAAGAAAGGCAGTTAATTATCTGGCACCCGCATCCACACATTCCTGAAAGCACGGGTCCGCCGTCGCTGTGACAGTCACGCTGGAGCAGCATTAGCATGTACTCAGTAAACAGACTCAGTGCCATCCTCCAGCACAGCCTCAGCCTCCCAGACGGGATTACAGCAGCTGGACAAACCCAGCAGGGACTATAGCTGGCAGTTAGCAAAATGCCAGTTCTGCTGTAGCCTGTAGATCACAGTAGTACCCAGGTTTGCTATTTCCTACATGCTCAGCTTCTCTGAAATGTGATGGAGAATCACTGCTCCTTGCTTCTCTGTGCAAGATTTATCATTTCATCCTTTCACTGTCGTGTGGAAATAGCCAGAAGACCAGACTAACATTTCAAGATTGTGAAGCCATTTGCCAAACACTTCTTGCTCTCTAACAGCAACATTTTTACAATTGCTTTTGCAACAGCCTTTTTGCAATCGTGTTTATAAGCTCCTTTACAAGCACATGCAACCGTATACAGAATGCAGAAAATCTTTACCTTGCTTGCCCAGAGGAGAGAGCCTGGCTTCCTCTCATGGATCAAAAGTAGGATGAAAAACAAACCCGAGAAAGACCCTTGAACAGACTCATCTGCTGAGAGTTGTTTAAATCCCAACCCTGCTCCTGCTCGCAGCTCTAAGTTTGTGCTCTGAATAGAGGCTGTGTTATTTTAACCACAGGATTTCCAGTCATGGGGGAGGAGAGATGGATTAGGTACGTTTGCAATCTAATGCTTCACATTTACCTCAACTGAAATGAACTACTTTTAGCCTGATGTAAATAAGTACAGCTAAGATATAGATTTCAAGAGTCCACTAACCAATTATGCTTAAACTAACATGCTAAACAACTGTGGAAAATTCCAGAGGAATAAGATAACATACTTTTGTGTTCTTTCCTAAATAAAAGGCATGTGTGGAATTTCATGCTAGATACTATGACAAGTGAGGGGCAGCAGATGAACTCCACAAACTAACCTATGCAAGGTGTTGTACCACATAAAACAATATTCCTAACACCTGTTAGCAAGGATTTCAGCAGGCATGTCAAAAATTTGCATTTTCATGCCTTGTAAAAAGTACAGATATGAGGTATTTGATTCTAATATTTCAAAAGAGCAAGTAAAGCTCTCTAAGTTAATAATGCATGATTTTAAAAGGTCACGGGGTCTGCAGTTCGGCAGGAGCACGAACATTAACCCACTGAACTTGTGCCACCTCCAGCTAGGATGTAAGCTGGATACCCTCCTGCAGCTCATGGATTGCTACAGAGAGTGTTTAATGCAGGCAAAATATTGTGCTTAGGACCATTGCTTTAGGTTTTGTTGTTTAATCCAGCTCAAACTCTGCCTTCCTTTCCTGGTTTATGGTACTTCAGTGTCACAGATGATGTGATTGCAAAGCTCAGCTATGACCCAGGCTTCCATGGCCACTGCCCAGACTTACATGGTCACTTCAGAGCTGAGGGAAAAAAGATTTCCTCACTTTCCGAGATGTATAATTTGTAAATAAAACATTCTTAAACTTTGGGATGAACTGAGAAAAACAATTTGAATGCAAAGCACTAGAGGCTAGTGGACAAATTCCAATTTGCTTTTGACAGCAGAGGCTTCAGGAACACAAGTTTAATTCCATTTTGGATAAAACCTGGCTCTATAAATAACCTTATCTTACACTTACATAACGCTGTTCATCCCAGAGCGCTGCCGGGTGCTTTGCAGATGTAATCATCCTTTCTGAAAAGCACGGGCAGACCTCCCAGGCTGGCCTGCAGGGACAGCAGCACCGGGAGGATCGGGGCCGTGCTGTGCAGGAGGAAGGCAGCAGAGCATCCAGCAGCAGCCTGCCTGCCTCCTGCCCCTCAGCAGCCCAGCCCATGGGTGCTGGTTGGAATCAGGAGGACTCAGCTTGTTGGGTCACCCAGAAACAGCTGAGAGAGCTTTCTGTACAGGTCTGGCATCTGTAACAAGCAGCAGAGGCTCAGAGCTGTCACCCAGTTCAGCCTGTAGGTTCCCCAAGGGACTGAGCATCATCCAGAGATGCCAGCCTGCTTCTCAGAGCTCAGACTGAGCTCTCTGAGCTTCCCCTGATGCATGGCTCACCCTGGCTCCCCTGAGCTTGGGGTTTTGTGGGCAAATTGGTAACCTGCTGTAGTTCAGCCCCAGCCAACAACTGAGTACTAAGCTCTCACTCCCTCCCCCCTGCCAGCCTCCCCAGTGGGATGGGGAAAGGAATCAGAAAAGGGCAATATATGCGAGTTCAGGACAGTAATAATTGAAATATTTTTTTTTCTTTTAAAAAATAGTAATAATAGGAAAAATTCCCAATACAATTTTTCACTTCCTGCTGGTGAATGACCCCTGCCAGCCAACTCTGCAGTTTATATACTGAACATGACATCCTTTGGTTTGGAACATCCCTTTGGCCAGTTCAGGCCCCCAGCTTCTTGTGCATGAGAAAATGAAAAGTCCTTGAGTTAGTGCAAGCACTGCCCAGCAACTACTAACATCAGTGTGTTATCAACATTATTCTCATACTAAATCCAAAACACGGCACTGTACCCTCTATTAGGAAGAAAACTAATTCTATCTCAGCCAAAACCAGAACAAATCCCAAGAATCTGTGCCACAGGCAGAGATGTACCCCTGAGCTAGACACAAAATGTCCCCAAAACTCCCATCAACTTACATCTGGATCATGAACCAACTTCTTCTTCCACCACTTGAGCAACTCACTCCACCCAAGGTGGCTTTCCCTGGCTGTAATTGTCACAACATCAATTCCACTGATGCTTTCCAGCTACAGGTGCTACCTCACCCTTGCATGGGACCCCACAAGGAAAGCAGTCATGAGAAATGCTCACAGGGCAGGGGCAGGGAGCAAGCTCCAGCAGGAAGATCCCAGGTCTCTCAGTTTGCAGATACTGGGAAGTGAAGGACCAGACCACTGCACCACAATGCTGCAGTCTGCCAGAGAAGACTTCTTTTGAGGTCCCTGTTGCACCTGGATGGGGGATTTTGTGTGTACAAAGTAAGTTTCTGTGCTGCAGATGGGTATATTTTTCATTTTCATTTAGCTGTTTCAATAGGAAACAGCAGGAGGAAGAGAGGCCAGCAGACTTTGCACTGCAGGTTGACCTGAAAAGAGTACATTTTTCCAGAGAAACTAAAAACACAGAACTGGGAGGAGGGAAAGCAAAAATAATTTTGAATTAAGTGAAAGCTTTTGATCCCAATGCATGGTTTGATATTTCTAGCTTATCTCCTAGGTCAGCCTGTGCTCAATTTACAAAGAAACAGCACTTTAAAAACAAACATAGAGGAAATTTAGAATTTCATTTCTGAGACGTCAAGGCAAGACATTTCAGCATTCCACATAACTCCTGTTTCTTTGGGGTGTGGACAAAAGTACTAACAGAGGGATGGGTTTAGTGTTTCCTTTGTTCTCCTAGACAAGTCAACAAGCTGAACACAAATTCACCACCAGTTCCTTCAAGTTCACATTATTTTTCAAAAACCCCCAATATTTGTCTGAAAACTTTGCTAGACACTGACACAGCATTTGGAAGTCAAATACCTGCTTATTAATGACATTTTTTACTCTGCCCCATGCCTTGAGGCAGCTCAGACCTGCTCCCTGCCTGATGCATCCTGCTGCAGTACAGACCATGAACTCTCTGCCTCCAAAGCAAAGGCAGCTCTGCAGTTCCCTTTCCCTTCATTACGGCTCCAAGCTGGAATGGCTCTTTCCCAAGCCCAACCAGCAACAAGTCATTCCTGGCCTGTGAGGGGAGCCTCATGCAATGCTGGATATTTCTGCACTGTAATCACACTGGCTGAGGTCTGGAAGCTGCAGTGCTCACCTGCCTCCCATTACAGCCTGCAGAATAAAACACAGCCCGAGCTAGACCTATTTAGGGATTCAATTTTGCACTTCAGTCAGCATTTGTATGAGTTGGGCAACAAAGGAAAGGAAATGTGAAACACAATAAACTGTACAATGAAGTACAATTTTGCAGCATGAAGAACTCCTACACTGGCCACTCCTTCTGAGATAATGGGATGAAGAATTTGTAATGGACATTGTTGACAGGAAATTACCTGTTAAAGGAACTTGAGTAGTTGCTCATTTATTTTGCAAGCTTTCTCCCTTTTTTATATAGTGAACTGAAAACTGGAAGTAACAAGTTTCTATTTCTTTTGAATTGGGGAATTTCTTCTAGAAGCGATATTGCCAATCCACACTGTTAAAAGATCTTCCATTAATATTCACAGAAAACTTCATGTTTTATCTAGAAAACATAAGCTTCTGGGGAAAGAAGCCCATTGGGAATGGTATCAGACCACATTTTCACACTTCAGCTCTACAGTTTTGACATTTGGTATTTCTGTTGTAAAAGAAAGAAAATGTTTTTTCAGTCAAAGTGCTCAATGGACTGAGGCTCTGAACCAGCAACTCACAATATCAAGCACAATAAGACACAAAATTATGATAGTTATCAAACCTAAAAAAAAAAAAACAAAACCAAANGCTCTGAACCAGCAACTCACAATATCAAGCACAAAAAAAAACAAAAAAATAAAAAAAAAAAAAAAACAAAAAAAAAAAAAAAAACCAAAAAAAAAAAAAAAAAACCACACAGGGAAAAAGTGAATTTCTCTGAATTCTTTTCATACATTTGAATTATTTCTTTCTAGATTGCAGTGCTTCCTTCTGTTCTGTTCTATTTCTAAAATTACACCAATCATGACCATCAGTGAACACAAAACACCAAATGAGACGACAAGCTAAAATCATACAAATTTATAGTTAATTGCAAGTTAATCCAGGCAGTTCCACCAAAGAGCTTTCCCTTAAATTAAGTGTGAGCACCTTTGTTACAAGCCCAAGGGAAAAAGGGCGGGTTCCAGGCCCTGTTGACTGTCACTGGTGGGCTCTGGCAGCCATTGCCCCTATGTGGGCATTGCTTCCCCTTTCCAAACCCTGCAGGTTTTCCCCTACCTTGAGGAAGTTGCTCCCAACCCATCAAGAAGGATGTCCCAGTTAATGGCACTCAGACCCTGAGCCTCATGCAGGGCTGTGTGGGGACAGCTCATTGCACAGAGCCCCAGGCACCCATGGGGGGTGGCAGGTCTGGGGTACCCCCAGCCCACCCCCAGGAGGTCCAGGTGTGCTGAGGAAGGGCAGGGATGTGCTGGTGTGGGCTGAGCCCCACAGCCAGGCCCTGCAGGCTGTGCCAGGACTCTGGCATGATGAACAACTTCAAATCCTTCTCCTTCTGGAATGAGCACTTGTGGAGGAAGGTTTAAGTTTCACAGCTTAGCCCTGCTTCAACAATCAACTTCATTTCACAAGGCAGAAACCTCTAAAGCTGCATTGAGCATTAGTGGGGGAGTATTGCACAAACCCTAAAGTATATAATAAACTACCTGTAATGGTGCAGGCTCTGCTCACCCTGCAGTGCTGGCTCACAGGGAACTGCAGGACTCTGCAAAGGATTAAATGACTCCAAGACAGACCTGCCACTGGCCACGGACCCATCAGAGGCAATGGGTGGCACCTCTGGGATAACATCATTTAAGAAGGGGAAAAACTGCCTGGAATAACAGAGGAGAGAGGAATGAGAGAGTATGTGAGAGGAACAATGCTGAGGACACCAAGGGCA